AGTAGGGCATTTTAAAAATTGTATGTTCAAATAAATTGCTTTAGAAAATAAGCTTAATTTCCTCCTTTTTCCATTTTACATCTTGGCTCAACAGTCTCGACCAATTACGCAGATCTTAATTGTCAACAAATCTTAATAATTGAGCACTTTTAAAGTATTGATTATTTCTGTTTACATCAGGATTGTATAACCAAGGCAACAACACATTTTTTATGATTTCTATATGATTTTATCATGATTCCGTAGAGCTCTGTTATGTAAGCAAAGAGAGAGCATTCGGCTCTTCTCTCGTTATTCAGTACATCGAGAAGAAAATAGAGTGTATAGTGATCGGGTGTGAGCGGCACTGAAGTAACAGACCTGTTGTATGTCCGCGTCCATATGGGACACTTCTTGGTCTGTATACTGGCCTCGATCGGCCTGTAAGTGACCACTGATCTAGGCTATCTATCGTCATATGTTATGTTTTTGTGCCTTTCTTAATTTATATAGAGTGTCTGTTAAAACTGAATGATCTGGCCTCACCTGCGCATTTGCGCTGTATCTCCTTCACTTGCCATGCTGAAACGCACAGAAACTCCACACACACACACAAACACATGGACACGTGAGGAAACGTGATGTCAACCAACAGATTTACACACTAAGAGGTGATTGGACAGGTCTTCGCATGTGCAATGGATGGGAAAGGTAATCGGAAGCGTAAAAAAGCAGAACAGCTTTGTTGCAGTTGTTTTTATTAACAAACCAATATTAATAATGCAGATTCTGAACCGTGGATCACAGAGCGCACTGAACCGTGGGAGGACAGCGGGATATGTTTTTTTTTTACTAAGAACCCTTGCATCCCTGTTGGCTATCCTGTAGTGTTGTTGTGAAAATGAACTTTAAACCTTTATTTCCCACAACCGCATGTCTGGCCATAGTAATCTTTGCGTCTTCTAGTGTCTGAAAGGAAAGGTTCACATTTTACTGGGTCCGGCAGTTCTTAATTGGTATCATTTCGTGTCAACATTGATACGAACAGGCGAAAAATCCAGACAAACGAGGAATCATTTAAACGACTCTGAGTCAAATCTTTTTTTAAAATTAAAAATCTATATTTTTTTTTTAGATGTAACCCTCAGCTTAATATTTACATTCACTTAAAACTATTACACACTGCATAGTCATTTTTATTGACGAGACATTTCGCTTGAGGTTTTCATGCTTTCCAAAACTCACAAAATATAACAGTAGTTCATTCATTTTCTTGTTGGCTTAGTCCCTTTATTAATCTGGGGTCACCACAGCGGAATGAACCGCCAACTTATTTAGCACGTTTTTACGCAGCGGATGTCCTTCCAGCCACAACTCGTCTTTGGGAAACATCCACACACAGACACTTTTACACTACGGGCAATTTAGCCTTCCCAATTCACGTGTCCGCATGTCTTTGGACTGTGGGGGAAACCGGAGCAACCTGAGGAAACCCACACAAACGTAGGGAGAACATGCAAACTACACACAGAAACGCCAACTGAGCCGAGGTTTGAACCAGCGACCTTCTTGCTGTAAGGCGACAGCACTACCTACTGCGCCACTGCGTCGCCTATAACAGTAGTATGTTATTCAAATTTTTGGTCAATTTTGGGAGCCTCTTTATTTAACCTGTATAGCCAAAAACCTCACGTTTAAGCTGAGCCAATTGGTTTTGAATGGAACTTCGTGCAACTAGCAGAAATCAGCCATTCTTCTAAATTTTGCCAGTCTCAGTTGCAGTTTGCACAGATCATTTGCTTTAGAATGGGAATTCGGTTGCAATTTTTCTTGGGCTTTCTTCATGAGCACACACTGCATTACCTCTGCTTCGTTCATTATGCTAAAAGCACACCTCACAAATGACTACACTCACACAACGTCCATCTCGCTTCAGCGCAGCATATAAAAAGCAGAAAGGCACAGATGGCAGAGCATTTTGTGAGCGTTGCACAAGCATTGAGTGAGCGCTGCACCTGTTTATATTTAGCTTCAGTGTGGAGCACTGGGGGGACGCAGAATCAAAAAGAAAAGGCATCTGTCTCGCATGGCGAAATCTTTCCTTTCCTCAGCCTCTCCCCAGAATTCATCCTGACCCGCTCCAGCAGTCAAGCAGAGCTATGCACATTCATTTTGTCAGAATTTTGTTAAAAGTAGAGCTGTTTACTTGGCACAAAACGTTTTTTTCTCTACCCACCAGTTTGGTTTTGGAAAATTTCTTCGGAAAGTATATGAATTTACAAGTTTACTCATATTTATAGGATGTATTACTATTGATTTCTATGAAATAATCCTTTGTGTTTAATTGCAAATATCTTTGAGATGTCTAATGAGGCATCATATAAGGACCAAAGTATCATTGGATTGGAATCTTTGTCTTTTTTAATAAGCAAGCACCCAAAACTGCAACTGTCCTTTACCATATTAGCCTAAAATCAGTCAGAACAGCTATGTGCATAGTATTGCCTAGGCAAAATACAATACATTTGTATTGTGTTTACAGTATACATTTGTATACTGTTTAAGGCCAGTTTACATGAGTGAGCAATATCTGATGCAGGTTGTGACAGTTTACGCATGCTTATATCTGCACCAAATATGTACAAGCAGTTGCATCAGTGTACACTGAACAGAATGCTGTGAGGTGCAATGCTTGTTTATCAACCAGAGTCAAAAATCTCAGTGAAAAACAAAGCAAACAATCCAACACAGGCATACCTGCAGAACCCTATGCCAGGCAATGTGAAAGTCTGACAAGAAAATCGAGAAAAGATAGAGAGGACATCAAACTGAAAATGCATTTAGTTTTATACATAGAGCTAGGAGAACTTTTGTAGTTTATTCATGCACTCATGAGACTAATTAAATGTAGCCAGAAAGGTTGTAATATACTGTGCAGTATATGCATACGGGTATTATCATGCTTCTTCAGGACAGTAGACATTAAGGGCCCTTTAATACACCCGGTGCAATAAGGCACGTGTTTAGCGCAGTTTGTTGCTATGTTCAGATTAGCGCAATCCTAATTTTTTTATGTTTCGTGCCACTTTGTTTAAATAACAAATCCATTTGCGCCACTTTGTGGTCTCATGGGTGAGCTGGTCTAAAAAGAGGTGTGTTAAGGCACATTGTTAAACCGTTGCTATTTTGAGGAAATTAAATAGACCGAAAGCTGGTCTAAAGTCCAGCGCAGAGTGTGTTATTTATGCGCCTATGTTGGTCCAAAATGCATGCACTTTGCCTAACACACAGGATGTACAGCAATACACAAATAACTTTAAATATAAAAAAAATAAAGAATTAAAATGTTACAGAAATTAATATTTACTACATAAATATAAAAGCCTTCATGTCTGGAGGCTTTATCAGTTTATTCATGACAATTTGCATTTGTATAGTGTTATTGTTATTAGCAGTATTATTTATTATATGCATATTTATATTTGTTTTGTTAAAAACAAGTTTTGTCCACCTGTTGGGTTTTGGAGATGCATGCATCACCATATGGGGCATAAGAATAGGACATGTGTTTTGGATACAACTCCGTTTTTTGACCACACTTCCTTATTATTGTTCATTAATTCCTTTGCTGGAAATTAGCTTTGAAACGATTCTTCTAACAAACTAAATTAAATATGTAGGCTAATAGATGTCTTCAGTGGAGTGAGTTTCCACCTTTCCTTACTCCACAAAGGTAAAGGAGTGAAAGTAAACTTAAGAGAGAGTAAAGATGCCGAATAAAAAAGGCTCATTCTATATCCTCATGCTGCAGATGGTCCGTTTAACGGTTTACTCGCTAGTGAAGCGTTCAGTTTTTTACTTACAAAGTTCGCCATGTAAATATTAAATGCGCCATGCCATGACACAAATGACTCTGAAAGTGAATGGGAGATGAGACTCTGATTGGTTCAATGCACGTTATGCTCAAAACACACCCATATCTAGGCCCACACGGAATCTGCGCGCGCAGAATTCTGCAGATTTTGCGCAGAACTCCGCAGATTTCTGCAGATTTTTAGCCCGTCATTAATTCTGCTTATTTGCTTGAGTAAATGTGTAAATCTGAATTTATTCAGTTTTTATTCAGTAATTTATTACTTTTTATCTCATATGTTAAGGTTTTAGTTATGATACTTCGCTGGATACTCCCAAAATAATTCCGCAGAAATCCGCCAGGGTGCAAAGCGTATTCTTCTGAAAATAGCAAACGTGGATCCGGACATACTCTTGATGCTTTTAGGCCATGCACTTTAGATTTTCCACCTAGATCATTAAAATAAAGCCCTAAATGTTTTTAAATTATCTGTAGGCTCATGGCTATTAAATATAAGAGCATTCAGTAGATGGTTTATTGTATTATTGGCTCCACCAATGCAATTGAGTTTCTTATACTGTACAATCACTCTCTATAATCATTTTAGATATTACTTTCTGGGATTTATGAAGTCAGGTTCTTTATATTGCTGTTATGTTACTGTATGTACTGCAAAGTCAGTTTTTACAACATATATTTGGGATAATTATGTTTGAAATAAGAAGCTAAATCTTTTAAATTATCATATACCTCTTCTAAATTTATTTAATGAAATACTGTAATATAAATGCTCAGAGGCCACCTTTATTTAGTGGAATCAGCCATCATTCTAAGCTTGGGTGTTTTACTGGACTTATCAGAAGGTACATAATTGTGTGTGTTAAACACATTGACTTTAAAGAGAGTCGGCAAAGCCTTTGAGAAAAGGTCACAGTCTTGGCCACAACCCAATTACACTTACTTGCTCAGCTTGACCAAATCCCTTTTGAATTACAATAGCAGTGTTACAAAGGCAGAGAGAGGAAGAGAGAATGTCAGTGAAGGATGAGTGATGTGATAAATTACATATAATCTGAGTATTGACACTTTCACCTTGTATTCAGTTGTTTTGCCCTTTTTATCTTGATTCTTTCAAGATATTCATCGCATGTTTGCTTTCTATTTTCAGAAGAAAGAATGGCTGTGTTTGACATGCCAAACCCAGAGAGCAATGTCAGGGAGCTTAGGGGATATTACTCCTCCTGTGCCACCATCCGTTGGATCTCCCCGACTACCAGGCCCAGCCAATCAACAGCAGCAGCAACGAGGGTCCAGTCAGCAAGCTTCACTGAGACCAACTGGCCCTCAGCAGCAAAAGCCAGCTGGAGCCCAAGTAAGTGTTCCTTTCTCTCCAGTAAAACAAGGGGCACCACAATCCAAGGGCCCCTCTCAACAATTACCTGCAACTAAGACTGACACAAAAAAACAAGATCAAGGAAATAACAAGAAACAAGTTATGTCCAAAACAGAAAAAGATGGGGACATCAAAGCATCATCTAAAAAGGGAACATCGGATAAAAAAGATGAGAAGAAAAGTAGTGGCATACAGAAATCTAAACAAGATGACGTGAGTGGTCCTCTGTGTCCTCATCACCACTGTCTGTGTCTTTCATAACAGATCACTTCAACATTCTTTGATGGGAATGTTATGTGTCAAATAAATTCACCAATTTCATCTGTATCCAAAACCAGTTTAAAATTTACTGTTGTTGGAACGTGTCACCATTTTTGCTGATACTGCCAGGTCACTAATCTAGCCCCATGCAATATATATAATTCTTCCAGAATTCTAATTTGAATTACAATTTATATAATAATATTTGCATGCCATTTATATGTGAATAAATAGTATTATTAATAGCATCAAGAGGATTTAAATTCACTTTTAACCTCATCCCCTTCAGGTTTTGCATGCTTATCTAATGTGAGCCATTTGCATGTTTTGTATGTTGTGCTTGATTAATTTAAAATGTTTAAATTTGTTTATTGGTCATATAAATGTTTATTACATAATGATCTATGTCCTAATGTATTATCCTATGTATTTACAGGATTCCAACAAGTCAAGTACACAGAGTCTGAGTGATACAGGCTACTCCTCAGATGGCATTTCCAGCTCCCAGAGTGAGATTACTGGCTTGATCCAAGAAGACTCTATGAAGCTCAATGAGAGGGGGGTCACTGACCAACGCAGTCCCCCAAGCCCATCTGAACTAACAAAACTGGAAAGTTCGATGCGACCTCTGTTGGAATCACATACAGGCACCGGCCAAGGACAGCACCGTGATGGAAGGGACAATGCAGACCAACAGAGGCCTCGATCTCTGTCCATAACACAAGATCAAGAATTTGAGTCTGATGAGGAAGCATCAGATGATCTGAGCTGTAAATTAAGACATGATTATGTGGAAGATAGCAGTGAAAGTGGACTTTCTCCATTGCCACCCCGGCAGAAGAAGTCACAGAAGGAGCTAACGGATGAGGAGTTTATGAGAAGACAAATTCTGGAGATGAGTGCAGATGAGGAAGATACAGCAGATACTGAAAGTCATGTAAAGTCAAAAAGGAGCCATAAACACAGTGGAGATCTTGGAAAAGAGAGGCGTCGCTTGACACAGCAATCTAGCAGTTTTGAAGAAGACTCTAAAAGTGCTGATAACTACAAATCTGCTGAAGCTGATGACATGATGGCCTCACAAGGTGGTCTGAGACGGTTTAAAACTATAGAACTGAATAACACAAATAGCTTCAATCGTGACATGGAACTCAGCACAGATCATGACCTTAGGGAGCCTGAGCTTGAGATGGAAAGCCTTACTGGTTCACCTGAAGAAAGATCACGGGGAGAATACTCTTCAACCCTTCCTGCAACAACACCAAGTTATACCTCTGGAACTTCTCCCACTTCTGTGTCATCAATGGAAGATGACAGTGATAGTAGTCCTAGCAGACGACAAAGACTTGAGGAAGCAAAGCAGCAGAGGAAAGCAAGGCATCGATCTCATGGCCCATTGCTTCCCACCATTGAGGACTCCTCAGAAGAAGATGAATTGCGAGAAGAGGAGGAACTTCTGAGAGAGCAAGAGAAGATGAGAGACTTAGAACAGCAGAGAATTCGCAGTACAGCCAGGAAAACCAAAAGGGACAAAGAGGAACTGAGGGCACAGAGACGTAGAGAGAGATCAAAGACTCCTCCTAGTAACCTTTCACCTATAGAAGATGCATCCCCAACAGAAGAGCTCAGACAAGCTGCGGAAATGGAAGAACTCCATAGATCATCCTGCTCAGAATATTCTCCCTCCATGGATTCAGAAGCTGAAGGATTTGAAATGGGATCAAAGCTGTACAAGTCTGGCAGTGAATATAATTTGCCAACATTCATGTCTTTGTACTCACCAACAGAGAAAACATCTGCTGTCTCTCCATCTACAGCAGATAAATCATTAAAAAGTGCTGAAGAGGTTTATGAGGAAATGATGCGAAAAGCAGAAATGATGCAAAAGCAGCAGCAACGTGCACCAGGAGGACCAGGGCAACAAAACCAGGAAAGAATGCTTCAAACTGACAAAAAACAGCATTTAGATTCTGGAACAACTTCCTTGAGTCCGGGTACAAGCCCTACCCAGATCTCAGCTCCAGTCTCATTCTCTGGAAATGATCCTTCAGGTAGAGGGGCACAAAGAATGCAGTCTACTCAGAGTCATTCACAAAGTCAAGTTCGAATGAACAACCAAACCTCTAAGGGAGGCCATAGTGGTTCCCCACAGTCTCAAATTAGGCAGCCTGCTCCAACACAGCCTCAAGGAAGACCTGGAGTTCAAGGGACTGCACAGGGTCAAGTGCCTGATCCCGGAGCTTCCTCTTTAACATCAAAAATGTTCTCATATTTCAAAGGATCAAGTCCTTCAACATCCCCCTCTACTTCCCCCACACACAGTCCAACACGTGGCCCTGCACCTTGTACTATTTCTACAGTGGCACCCACTCAAACCTCTCAAAGCCCCCATAGATCTGGGGCACCACGTCTTGCAAGACAACAGTCCTCCCAAGATTCCCCTGTTATAGTGATTACATTGGGATCAGGGACTAGCAGTCAAACCAAACCAGCAACGGTAAATTCCTCCACTTCACCTTTATCCTCTCCGACAAAAGATAGCCAAAAAACAATTTATCAGACTCAACATACAACAACAAAGTCACCCACATCACCACAGAAATATCCAACCCACCAAACGTCTCAGCATGTCTTACAAAGGGCACAGATATCAGAGCGAGTTAGTTTACCTGCAAGTACAGCCATCTCTGCTGGTGCCCAAAGTAGTGGATCTCTTCCTGCGGGAAACATATCCTTATGTAGAATCTCAACTGTACCTGGTACCTCAAGAGTTGTAGAGCAAGGCACTATTGCTCCTGGAAGTAATATAGTGGACCTTAGAGCACCAATGAAGCCTGCCCCAATCATCATGACAGATCAGGGTATGGACCTAACATCTTTAGCCTCTGATGCAAGACGATACTCGCTTGATTCAGAAACAGCCCCAAGTCGTCATACTGCTGTACAACCTCTTATTATGAATCTAAATTCACAGGCACAACCTCAGGTGACTACAACTACACCAACAACAGTAAGTGTCACTGTGGCAGCATCTATGTTCATATCACAGCCAAAGCAACCAGTTGTATATGGGGATCCTTTGCAAAATAGAGTCGACTTTGGCCAAGGAGTTGGATCTGCAGTCTGTTTGACACAGAATAGGCCACTAATTACAGATCCATCCATTCCAAAAATTGATGCATGTCTGGAAAATTTAGGCATTCAACAGCAGCAACTTCAGAAACAGCAACAGAAGCTTCAACAACAACAAGAGCTCCTTGAGCAACAGCTCCAGCAGCATCATCAAAATGCATCTTTTGCTCGATACAACTTAGCAAATCAAGTACAGCCAATACTGTTAAAGAAGGACTTGGTTGTGAGTCAGAACGCCAGTGGAGGTACACAAACAGCAGTTAGTTCTATTGCCAAAATATCCCCGCTACCTCCACCACCATTATCATGCTCCGCATCTACCACACCCACACTTGGTCATGACATATATGGTGGAGTGGCATTGGAACTAAAGAACAAGCCTGCTGTAATAAATCTCTCCACAGTGAATCCCCAGGTAATGATGGTGCAGTTGGAAGAGAATAGCACTCAGGGAGCAACAGTAACTCAACTTGTTAAAAGAGAGGAGCCTCCTCCACCAGTAGATGTTCTAGATCTCACAGGACAGATAAAGCCAGAGAATCAGTTAGCCTGCTGTGATGTTGTCTACAAGTTACCATTTGCTGGCAGTTGCTCTGGCCCTTTTTCTCAGAGAGGTAAGACGACACCATCAGAGCCACCTGCAGAGCCAACACAAGTTCACGGGCAGCAGAGCCAACCTATAAATGATGCTTACCAAACAGCAACTATACAAGCAACTGCAGATGAATCCAAATCCTTTACGTTGCCTCCTGCAGGACGACTTCCACCATCTATGTCAGACAATAATCTAGCAGGTTCATCTCTCCAATATTATCAGAGGACGGACCCTGGAGACCTAGCAGTGGATTTAAGCACTATGAAGCAGGCCTATGAAGCAGGATATCTTGGAATGGGTTCTCAATATGGGTCATACACAGATTTACGCCATCAAGGAAGTGATTCGGCTCCACCGTTACCTTTGAGAAGATATGGTTCAATGTCGAATATAAATGCAGAATATGGCTATCCTCCACGTGATCTTGGTGGTTTTCAAGAATCTAATCTTGCACAGTACAGCGCTACTACAGCTAGAGAGATTAGCAGAATGTGTGCTGCTCTCAATTCCATGGAGCAGTTTGGGAGTCGATACACTAGCACTCCTGAGCTTCTGCAGTATGGTGCTGGAAGAGGAGGCACAGCAGGTAGACTTAACCTTCAACAAGGACTAGCATCTATCAGAGCCAACTTGTTGTATGGTCCTGATGGCAGACCAACAGTACATGGTCAAACACTTACAAATTTAATCAATGCTAGACAAGCTAGTCTAAGATCTTTATATCCCCCTGCTGGAAGAACAGCTGATGGCATGATATATTCTACTATTAACACGCCAATAGCCTCCACCCTACCAATCACCACCCAGCCTGCCCCTGTTCTTAATCCCATGTTAAGAGGAGCATATGGACCTTACACTTCAGGAGGCGTTACTGCTGTACCTCTGGCTAGCCTCACCAGGTTGCCTCAAGTCACCCCAAGAATGCCTCTAAATGCCCAGGCACCTTACAGATATCCTCCTCCAAATCAGTTTTCAGCAACTGCTCCAGAAACTTTATCAGGAAGCGTCCCACCTTCTAGTACATCACAGGAAGTTCCAGTTTATCTGGGAAAGCCTACAGCTCCTGGTAGTATGTCAACAAATGCATCACAAAAATCTAGTCAACCTGTTTCAAATATGGGCATGCAAAGCATACAACCAGCACATACTAGTATGGTATCAGTACAATCAGTTGTTAATGCTCCTATAACACATATGCCAGTAGACAGTACTACAATGCAACTCCAATCACAGCCTCAAACTCAAGCACAGTCATTGGTCAAAGGTCAGGAACAGACTCAAGGCCAGCCTCAGACACAACCTCAACCACTAACACTGCCACAAAAACAAACCCAGGCAATTACCCGAGTGTTTCCAGATGCATCTGCCAGTACAACGATAACAACATCTGCAGATACTGAGAAGGAAAAAGAAGAAGAAAGATTGCGACAACAGCAGGAGCAACTCTTGCAGCTAGAACGAGAACGTGTTGAGTTGGAGAAATTGCGTCAGCTACGTCTACAAGAAGAGTTAGAGAGGGACCGCGTGGAGCTTCAGAGGCACAGAGAGAAAGAACATCTACTCATGCAGCGGGAGATTCAAGAACTTCAAACCATAAAGCAGCAGGTACTTCACCAGCAACAGGCTGAAAGGGAAACCCAGCTTGTAATGCAAAGAGAGCAACTGGCACAGCAAAGGATGCAGCTTGACCAAATTCACTCTCTACAACAACAACTCCAGCAACAACTTGAAGAACAAAAGAGGCAGAAAACAGCAGCCATTGAAGCAGCAGCAGTGGCAGCTGCAGCAGAAGCGGCGGCTGCTTCAGCAGCAGCTGCAGCAGCGGCTACAACAGCTCAAGGTGCAATGCAAGGTGTGATGGTTGGTGGAACTACCCCTCAAACCATTTCAATTATCTATGACCAGAGTGGTAGAATTATTCCACAAGAGGGCCAGAGTGTGCAGCTTTTGCCATGTGCTGATGGACAGGTGGTCCAGGCAGTGGTGTCCACTAGACCTTTGCCCAGCTCTTCTTCAGAGATGTCCCTTAAGAATAGTGAAGAACACGGAGATCGGATTATGAAGAAGCAAAACTCAATGCCCCGTTTGAGGAATGGGTCAGAGGATGAGTCTGTAAAGAGAATTGCAGATTGCAGTGTCCAAACTGATGATGAAGACGCAGAGGACAAACTCATGTCTCGCCGTCGCAGAACTAGACGTATAGCTGACTGCAGTGTCCAGACAGATGAAGAGGATCAGGGTGAGTGGGACAATCAGCCAATACGCCGCAGACGTTCAAGGTACTCAAAACATTCTGAACCAGCTGCAGAGACTAAGAGTGATGCATCTAAATCTAGTATTGCCATTCAGACCACCAATGACTCTTCATGTCAGACTGAGTCAGACCAGTTGGGTAGAATATCTCCAGCTATACACATTACCATGGCTGAAACATCAAAGGTTGAACTCCTTCACTACATATCTGCTCCAGAAAGAACCCATAAGGGAGAGAGTTTAGCATGCCAAACTGATCCAGAGGCACAATCCCATGGAGTGGTTGCTCCTCAGCTCAGTGTTCCCACTACTGTTAGCCCCTATTCCACCAGTCTACAACTAGTTGGTGCCACACCTACCAAATTTGAAAGGAGAAAGCCAGACCCATTAGACATCGGATACCAGCAAGCTCAGCAGCAAAATGAATCTCCTTCACGTCAGCCACCCAAATCTCCACAAGTGCTATACTCTCCAGTATCTCCTTTGTCCCCCCATCGTATGTTGGAGACTACCTTTGCTTCCAGTGAGAAACTCAACAAAGCACATGTGACTCCCCAACAAAAAGCCTTCACTACAGAATCACCACAGAGGCATCAGACTATTCCAAGGCCCATAAAGAGTGTTCAGCGGTCAATGTCCGACCCCAAGCCTCTCAGTCCAACATCAGAGGACCCAGCCAAGACTAAATTCTCCCTATACCAAAGTCAAGCCAGCCCAGCGAGTCAGGTATGGAACCATTTCATCATAGATTTTTATTTAGTATACAGTGTTCTTTTGTTGACATCAAAACCACACCTTATAGACAGTAAATTAGACAATTTTAAAAATGAACCATTTATACACTGTGGGGCTGTATACAAGTATAGATTTTTATTTTATTTTTATTTTTTTTACAATTTCAGATTTTTTTAAATTGCATCTTTACTTATTTATGTGTATACAATATGTGATAAAAATAGCAGGGAATGAACATACTGTATATGTAAAACACACACAGAGAGGGAGGGAGGGAGAGAGTGAGTGAGAGAGAAACTGCTATATCTGGCAAAGTCTCTGAACTGCTAGGGGGTGGCACAAAGTGTAGGCATACTGGGTCAGCCCTGCTGTCTTCCGGCTTGTCAGCAGCTGGTCAGAGAGTCTTTCATTCTCAGTTTGAATCCCGTCTAAGGAATGCTCAGGCTTATGCATTCAGTGTACCGCACACCAGATTAAAGGAGTCTTTATTTTGTTACTTCATCCAATGACTATTATATAACTGAATTTCTTTAATGGATTATCTACCTCCACGTTACTGTAGGTATGCAGATTTGTTTTGTTATTTGATGTCTACTTACTGCTTTGTTGTTTGTAAACTGACCTGTGATTATTGTGTTAACACTAAAGCTCTTACTCTGTGGTTGACGTCAAATCATTACAGTTAAATATTATTGTAGCCATTTTGTTCACACATAATGTATTGCTTGACTAATTATGGATCTTTTATAAAATACAGTGTCATGGTTATATATTTATAATTACTTTAATTAAAGCGTTTAGCATTTTGAGTGTGCTTGCAGTATATTGTCAGGTAATAGTTGGATTTTAATGTTGGTCTTTTTTCAATGTATGCCCTAAAGTCAGAGAAGATATAAAGTATAATAAAATAAAACAGAATGCAGTATGTTTATTATTAAGACAGATTTACCAACCTAATCTTAAAACATGCTTTGAAATATTTCTGGTTGCTTTTATTTTAATCTCTAAAATCTCTGCATTCCAGATGTCTGCCTTGCAACAGCAGAACGCAATGATGAGAAAGGTGAAGAGAACTCTCCCAAGTCCTCCTCCAGATGAGTCACCTTTACCGATTATGACACCAGCAATTCCCCATATATACAGTTCCCCTGGGGTATCCCAAAGGGTTTTGCCACGTACTGCACAGGGTGCAATGAAAGCAGGCTTGTTGAGTGAACTAAAAGCCGTAGAGCAAGAATCCACCAAATTACGTAAACAACAGGCTGAGCTAGAAGAAGAGGAGAAGGAGATTGATGCTAAGCTACGATGTTTGGAAATGGGCATCACTCAACGCAAGGAAACCAGAGTAAAAGAGAGAGAGAGGCGAGAGTTGGCATACTTGCGATGTATTGGGGATGCACGTGACTACATGTCAGACAGTGAACTGAATAATTTGAGATTAGCTGGGGTAGCGCCAGGCACCTATGAAGAAAATGGAATGCTGTCACGTCCAAGTACAGCTCCTCTCAGCCAGTTTACTTCCGATTTGAATGCATCTCAGTACCCTCCTACCTCTTCATATGTTCCATATCAATACCCACAGCCCCAACCCACACCCACGCAACCACCCACTGCCACCTATCAGATTGGGTTTCAGCCAGCACCATACCCAACCTCCTCACAGCCCCAGCCTGGAACCTTCCAACCTCATCCTCCTCAACCTTCATCTTATCAAACCCCAGGGCCATACCAGACTCATAACTATGGTCAGCCTACTTATGAGTCTGACCTTGGATTACAGCAACCCAGTCACCAGGGATTCCAACCACCAACTGCACCTTTAGCAGGCCAGACGCTACCTTATCCTGCACAAAGCATGTCCTTCCAACCTCAAGGAGACATGCTTTCAGCCCACCAAAGGCCAAGGCAAACTTCACTAGCTGATCTGGAACAAAAGCTACCCACAAACTATGAAGTGATCAGTAATCCTTCAATTCCAGTAGCAACATCAGCTCAAGATACTGGATTCAGCGGTGTCTATTCCTCACCATTAAATAATGCTTATGGTCAGTATCGGCCCTCTGATCAACCTTTGACTGAACGTATCCCAAGTCCTTCATCAGGATATGGAACAGATGGTGTCTATGCCACAAATCTAGAACAAAACATCCCCAGAAATTATGTCATGATTGATGATATCAGCGAACTCACAAAAGAGAATATGGGGTCCTCTGATATGGCACGGTTAGGTTATGGAAGTGAGAATGGCCCACGTGGACCGACTTATGGTGATGGTTCTGAGAATTTATATGGAAGAACTTCAAACACCTATCAAGGTGGAGTCGACAGCCATGGACACCCAATCACCTCTGGAAGTGGTGGTTCTGGTTATTATTATGATGACTATAAGCACTCTTCACGCAGCAGTGGGGGAATGGGCAGCCAGAAGCACTCATCCAAAAATCTGGCACCTGCTGTTTCGTCCAAACGTAGCAAACATAGAAAGCAAGGCATGGAGCAAAAAATTTCCAAGTTCTCTCCAATTGAAGAAGCTCGAGATGTAGAGTCCGATCTCGCTTCGTACACTATGACCACATCGACTGGTGGTAGTTGCACTGTGGTGTCCAGGACTGGTGTGAAAAAAGGCTATGACCAGCAGAAGTACTATGGATCAAGGGAGGCATTGGAAGAGGATGATCGCCTCTATGGCTCTGGACGATCAAGGTCCACAGGTTATGGTATGGATAAAATTTCCTCCAGAGACTCAAGTGGCTACCGAAGTAAGTCTTATGAGAGGGATGCTATGGAGCGATCACAAAGGGGCACCCATGGTCGTAGTGGCCGTCCTTCTATGCGTACACAAAACTCGGAGGAAGAGAGCCCTCTGAGTCCTGTTGGAAAGCCCATGGGAATCGGTCGTGGCTCTGTGCCAGATGATGTACGAAATCAGTATGGCTCCAGCCATTCGTTACCAGATGTACAGGACCACCATATGAGGGATATTCCTAAGAGTCATGTATATAAGCCAGATGACCCTTACCTTGCAGATGACATGCACTGTGCTGTTTCAGACAGTGAAGGTAACTGGTGCTGAATTTAAAAACTGCATGTTTAAATGCACCCAGCAATTAAAAAAACTTGCATGCCAATGATCTTGCCTTGAGGGCAGAGAAAACAGAAGTTTGGACTATTGTTATATATGAATGCTGTAATCAATGCATGAAACCACATATGCCTTTTTTGCATGAACTGCATGATATGTCATATGTTTTGACTGATTAAGTGTATTTTTTTTTGTTATTCTTGTTGTTGGCTGCTGGCTTTCTTTTTTCTTTTTGTTCCTTGGCTGTTTTTTGGGGATTTGAGTGATGCATGGCTCACTGTATTCATTGCCAGTTCTTGTTATTGGCACTTCCTGTAGCACAAAGTATTGACTTTCTCCCTTCATTTCCCAAAAAGCCTATCATTTGGGTCAGGAGGAAACAGACTGGTTTGAAAAACCACGCGAAGCTCGTTCTAAACACCATGGGAGTGGAAGTCACTCATCTTCTAGCAGGAGAGGCAATGTAAAGCACACTTACCATGATTATGATGAGCCCCCTGAGGAAGATCTCTGGCCTCAAGATGAATACGGACACCAACGGCATTCCTCTTCCACCTCATCTCGAGAACACCGTCACCATGGCAGCAGTTCAGGAAGACACACCTCTTCCCGTCATACCACAGATGATCCCAGGTCATCTCGTTCTTCACGATCACATCCAAAAGATCCTTCCATCCGGTCAGATGGGCGAACCACCTCATCCTCAACACAGAAAAGATCCTCAGATCCACGATCTGGCAGCCACCGAGACTCCGGAGAATATTCTCGTGATCCATCAGGCCACCACCATGGTTCAAGTGGACAAAGAGGCCAGAGACAACCAGGTTCATCCAGGAGGCAGGAGCCCTCTTCAGGTTCGAGGCCACAGCAGGGTCTTGGAGAGCAGCAACCGCAATCCCAGCAAGGACAGCAGCGATCAAGTGCTGGCCAGCAAGTGTCTGCCAAGCAGACAGGTTCTTTGCCACCTGAGACAGGGCAGCAAGGACAACAACAATTGGGACAGACAACCCGTACACAACAGCAGCCACTACAGCATCCTGGACAACAGCCAGCGACCACAATGGGAGCAAGTCAGCCCACAACCACAGCTGCTGGTATGGGAACAGGAACAACTCAACAGCAGCAATCTAAGCCGGGTCAGGCTCCAGCACAGGCAAGACAACAACCAGGAGGACCACCCACTGCCCAGCCAGCTGCTGCTATGGTGAGTTTTTATGAGTCCCTCTGTGGCTTGGCATACAAGCTTTCCTTTGTCTCTTATTAAGTTTTGCATATGTGATTGACTTTTAATGTGATGCAAAAGAAATTTATAAATATATATATAAAATATATATATATATATATATATATATATATATATATATATATATATATATATATATATATATATATATATATATATATATATATATATATATTTTTTTTTTTTTTAACATTGACTTTTCATTGGCTTTACAGGCCAAGTCTGACATAGCTGCACCTGCTCCTGCTCCTGCTCCTGCACCAACTCCTGCAGTTGCAATTGGATCAAAAGCTGCACCACAGGCTGCAAAACCACCCCAGATTCCTGCCACAGGAATTGGTAAGTTGAAATAACCCCTAAGTCCTATATAATCCCTAACTGTAAATTACAGCAATATGAATTTTCAGGGAAACATGGTTCATTACCTTTCCATGATCTTTTTTCAGGTTCAAAGGCAGCACCCCGGCCAGGGGGTATAGGTAGTGCTGCACAGCAGCCTGCCGAAGGGGAAAATGTGCTTACAAAGATCCTGCAGGGAGGAGCAGCGGAACAAGCTGGAAAATTAGGAGATGGTATGGAACTGTGAATCATAAGCAATCAAAAAATTGGCAGCAGGGATAGAGACAGATGTTATGGAGAATATGTGCCATGTCTTGACTGAGGATAGTAATTAGTTGCCATTTAGCAGATGCTTTTCTTCCAAAGCAGCTTTTACTACAGTAATTTCAGCAATGGCACCCAAGGGTACCCAGGGTATAAGTGAAAAATGGTGGGGGTTTGAGCACTGTGATCTCAGTAATTCTAAAAATCCTGACATACAGTTACCTAAGACAGAATATACAGCTTTAGTTTTTATTGTCCAGATCTTTTAAGTTATGGCACATGTGACCTTAATTGTGTTTTTGCTTTGCTAATCTTTCTTACAGCTGTGTCTGCTCTCGGGAAGAAGTTTACTTCATTTTGGTGATCTGCCGATAGGAAGGTGAGAAAACACTGTGCACCTGAAATAAAACAGTATGAATTTCGTTTGGTGTGTTTAATACTATTTTGGTGCAGGATTGGTAGATTGGTGTTGTTCACCAAGCAAACAGATGAAGCTGGGACTTGTTGGCTGAGCTAGTTAAACATAAAGCACACATAACATAATGTCAATATTTCAGTATATCTGGACTCAGTATGTCAGCTAACACATTTCTCAAGTTAATCTTTTAAATGATTACTTTTTGTAACTTTTTACTGCTACCTATTGAGTTTCAATAGTCATGTCAAAGCAATAAGTAAATCAGCATACTATCATCTCAGAAACATTGCAAGAATCAGATGCTTTGTTTCCAGTGCAGACTTAGAGAAACTTGTTCATGCCCAAAAAGACAGTCAGACAGTTGCAGCTCATCCAGAACGCCCGGGCCAGGATTTTGACTAGAACCAGGAAATCAGAGCACATCACACCTGTCCTCAGGTCTCTACACTGGCTCCCAGCTACATTCAGAATAGAGTTTAAAGTATTATTACTAGTCTATAAATCACTAAATGGCCTAGGACCTCAATACATTACAGATATGCTGATTGAATACAAACCTAACAGATCACTCAGATCTTTAAATTCATATAAACTAGAAGTTCCAAGAGTCCAGTCAAAGCAGGGTGAATCAGCCTTCAGTCACTATGCCCCTCGCTGTTGGAATCAGCTTCCAGAAATGGTCAGATGTGCTCCAACATTAGGCATGTTCAAATCAAGACTGAAAACACATCTGTTCAGCTGTGCATTTACTGAATGAACACTGTGCTGCTTCCGACAGATCGCACTAATGTGTGTTTTTTTTCTTCTTTTTCATTATCTTTTAACATTTTAACACATTTTTATCTGTTTTTATTCTTATTTTTATAATTTTAATTATTTATTTTCATTTTCTAACACTTGTCTCTTTTATTCTTATTTATGTAAAGCACTTTGAATTGCCACTGTGTATGAAATGTGCTATATAAATAAACTTGCCTTGCCTTGCCTTGCCTTACCTGTAGGAATTACACTTGAGCTTTTGCAACAACCCATGTGAAAGGTTTTTTTTTTTCCTCAGGTGTTAGTTGGGGTGACTTGGGCCTAGAACTGCAAAACCTAAGAATCTGTATCTGCCATTTAACATCTTTAGCTGAGGGTGGGGTACACCTGAGGACACGGGTGAGTATTGTATTCTGCAATGCTTTACTCCAGTACTCACTCTCATTCTCTCTCTCTCTCTCTCTCTCTCTCTCTCTCTCTCTCTCTCTCTCTCTCTCTCTCTCTCTCTCTCTCTCTCTCTCTCTAATTAGCCCCCCTGAATTATTAGACCCCTGGTTTATTTTTTACCAAATTTCTGTTTAACAGAAAGAAAAAATGTTCACCATATTTCTTAACATAACAGTTTTAATAACTCATTTCTATTAACTGACTTATTTTATCTTTGCCTCTATGACAGTAAATAATATTTTACTTGGTATTTTGAAGACACTTTTATACAGCTGAAAGTGACATTTAAAGGCTTAACTAGGTTAATTAGGTTAACTAGGCAGCCTAGGATAATTAGGCAAGTTATTGTACAACGATGGTTTGTTCTGTAGACAGTCTAAAAAAATTAGCTTAAAGGGGCTAATAATTTTGACCTTAAATGGGGTTTAAAAAATTAATAACTGCTTTTATTCTAGCTGAAATAAAACAAATTAGACCTTCTCCAGAAGAAAAAATATTATCAGACATACTGTGAAAATTTCCTTGCTCTGTTAAACATCATTTGGGAAATATTTAAAAAAAGAAAAATTCAAAGGGGAGCTAATAATTCTGACTTCAACTGTATATATATTCAGGGCAATGTAAATACTTGTAAGTAATTGCATTCTGTATAATAAATGACATTCAGTCAGTGTACAGTGCATTGTGGGAGAGTAAGCAACTTATACAAATGAAAGTGAAAGTTTTTTTATGCAGTACTATGCAAATTCAACATGCAGGGCAATGATTTAAAAAAAGGCTGAAGAACAGAGTATTTCCTCTGATTTTTGCTTTTTACTCTGTACTAAAGGTCAGAGCTCAGGCTAACTGCCCCTGATCTCAGGCCACTCTGAACTAACCTTTGACTCTTCAGCTTGGGTGAATTAGGTCAGTCAAAGAGATCTATAATTAGCAGACAGATCAGTGGGCTTGGATTAGCATTAGCATCCAGGCAAAGCTCAGTCATCTTTGTGGCGTAAATATTCTGATGAGTCACATTAATTAAAACTGTCAAAAAGTTTTTACAGAAAGGACACTGAAATCATACGGAGAAAGTAATGAAACGCTGCACGTTAATTTAGCTCTGAACAGTAAAACATGGGCCTGTGAACGAGTTCCCACTCTACTTCTTATTCTCTGCTGAGCATAGCCAATGAGACCAGTGGGTCTTTTAATTAAAAGGCAGATTTAATTTCCTATAGTTACCGTATTTCTCCTACTCTTTGTCAGCCTGGGCTCTGTCTTTTGCCTATTTCGTTTCTGGTATCGTATCATAGTGAGTGATGTGGTATTTTACTGTCAGGGGGTGTGCTGCATGTGTAGATCCAGAGAAAGGATCTGGGATAAAACAGGTTTAGGGGCTTCTTAAACCATGGCTAATCCAATTCAACTCTCGGCTTACAATCCAATCCAAATCCCGCTCCATACATCAGCATGGTTTACTCACACAGCCACATTGGAAAGTGTGGATGTGTCAGACCAGATACTACACCTATGATTAAAAACCCACTGTTTCCATTCCCATTTGTAGATTTGTATCGACAATCACTGCTCTCATTTTGAGATGGGCAGCTGAACATCATGCCTTATATTTAAATCCAAGCCCTTTCTCGTAATTTGTACAGCCTTTTCAAATTTGTAGTCAATGTCCATTTTTTTTTTTCGACAAAGCTTTTCATGATTCCCATAGTGAATTTATCTCATTTTGATACTTGGTCCTTGCCTGTTTAAAGAAAGTTGTCCTCTTATGCCCTCTAGTGTTTAAGAAGAGGTGTACTGTAAAACCCTTAACCTTTTTGTGTAAATTTACTTACCCTCAGGCCATCAAAGATGTACAGTAGGTGACTTTTATTTTCTTCAGTAGAACATTAAAGAAGATTTGAAACCATGGAGATTCACAAAATGCAGATTAACATCTACTACTGGCACTATGAGAATCAAATATGTATATATACAGGTAAAATGCTTGATAATAATAGCAAGTTTGGCATGCTGTCCCAGGAGAGAACCCTAAGCTCAGAGATACTTAAGCACAGGGCTCCCGCCTAGTCATGAAGCATGTCCAAGATCGGGTAGTTTTTGAGAGCTCCCCCTGGTAAAAGAGGAAAGGGGGAGATGGGGAAGATGGTGGGATTCTTCAAAATGAAGAAGGAAGGTAAGATGAACGGTTTTAGGCTAAATTTTAGGCTAGAATTCATCTGATTGGACAAGCAATGATCATTGATGTGAAACCAGCCCTGATATCAGTCATATCACATGCACCTCTCGAAATTAGTTTATAAAACTTCAATAATCAGTGGTGGAAAGAGTTCTAAAAAATTCATACTCAAGTACAAGTACAATTACTTGCCTAAAAATATAGTGCAAGTAGATTAAAAGTATTTGTTGTCAACATTACTGAAAGTATGAGTAAAAAGTAGCCCTTTTAAAAGTACTCGAGTAGTGAGTATTATGCAGTAAAAAGCTGATGCATTTACAAGTAATTTGTGGATGTGTGTAAACGTAACATTCTGTAGTGCATTTAGTAATTGCCCAGCAGGCAAACAACGTCATAAGACATTAATATTAGGTTAGATTTCGGTTATGATGTCAGGTGACCAAAATTCAATGTTTAGCCAGTGTCTAGGGATTTAGAGTGTATTAGAAAGTGACCAAAATCCAACGTCGAGCCAACATCTCAAACCAACGTCATATTGATGTCAAATACTGACATTTATTCTTCAGGCTGAGCAACCAAAATCCAACGTCTGATAGATAAAGTGGTAACATCCACACATTGTCAAGCTGTACCATCATTAGAAGTTGATATTTGGTTGATTTAAGGTTGGACATTGAAATTTGACGTTGGACTGATGTTGGGTTCTGACGTCAACCTGATTTTTATTTTCAAACAAAATACAATGTCCCCACGACATTGCGATAAAACGTCAATCTGACGTCATGTTGACGCCTTGGTCTGCTGATTGTTTAAGGCCATTTTGGTCATCAGTCATCTTCTCATCAGTGGCATGCATCTAACCAGTCTCTGGGTTACTGTATGTAAAGATTTAGGACATTCTAAGACATTCTAGGATACTTCTGATGCTTCTTAACAGTTTGCTACAATAATAAAGCGCCAATGTCTTGAGTTACAGTAGTTCATTATGATGCAATTTACCTTCTATGTGCGATTTGATTGGACAGGAATAACAAGACTACTCAGCCAATCCCCATAGACAAGAAAAATAAAGTAGTGACTGCAGGTGGAAGGAAAGCAGTGGAGTAAAAGTACAGATACAGAACTAAAAATGTACTCAATAGAGAGTGAAAGTAAACTTTTTAAACCTACTTAATAAATTATAATTTCGGAGAAAAACTACTCAATTACAGTAGTTTGAGTATTTATGTTTAGTTACTTTACACCACTGATAATAAATAACTTCCCTTTAATTTAGATCATTAAAGATTTGATAGTTCTGTTACATCAGACCTCGGTGTATCATCAGAAGTTCCAGGTATTGGTTTTCTTTTGGCTGTATATTTTTTGGTTTACTTGCATTTGATGAATCACCAAGGATTATGGTTTCAGCTGCATATCCTTTATATTGTTGTAATGAAGAAAAAAAAACTGCATCTTGGATGGCCTGAAGGTGTGTAAATTAACAGCAGATTTTTAGGGGTTAACTATCCCTTTAAATTTTAAAAGAAAAATGTTTTGAAGTTTTAAAATTCTGACGATTGCATTGAGCTCTGCATCTATATTTTAATGCTTTTTTTTCTCTTATGACTTCTCCAGATACGTGTCAACCCTTGAAGTTTCAATGAAGCGTTAAGACGAAATCCCAAACACCATCTATCCTATGAAATCAACCAAATCCACCAAAAACGGAGGCGTAATCTCTCTTCCAAAGTGTTTTCAGTTGCTGCTGAAGCAATTGCAATTCTCAAAATGCCAAACTGTCAGTTCTTTTTGAGGTTTTTCCAGACAATTATGTCTTCCCTCACATGACATAATCTGTGCTCAGGTGACCCTCCCTGTTCCCGAAACAGCATGAAGATGTCAGGCAGCAGCAGGTCTTAGCTTTTTGCAGTTCTAACGAAGACTTCAATGCCCAGACTCGAAGAGACCGTAGCAGTGAAGGAGAGCGACTATCTTACAAAAGCTTCAAACAAACTCTGTAAAAAAAAAAAAAAAAAAAAAAAAAATGTATGCTCGATTTCTAAGATCTTGACATTCCAATATGGCGATGATTGACCCTCTCTATGAATGTTTTTGTTTCTTCCTTAACCTTTTTGTCAAGTGTGTAATGAATGCAAATGTGTAAACCGTGGACATGGAATGCACGCACAAAAAATATATATATGTATACATATATGAGATATATATGAATCCATATCTAGAAAACTTTTCAAAGTCTCTAAGGGTGAAGCCATGTGCACCTTGTGTAAAAAGCTGGTTATTTAACATAAAACTATTGGTGAAGTGCAGAGGTCAGTAATATCAGAATGTTAGCATAGTCGTGTCCCTCTTTTATTTACCATTAAGCCATTGCTACCTTCCCCCAGAATACCCTAAGTTTGCATTTTTGTTGGCGTTAGCTTATCAGTTTTGCCTAATTTTATTTTAAATTACGAGCCTTACTAAAATTTTTTACTTGTATACCTCACACATTTTTTTAAAAGTCATCCTTACTTGATTTATTTTGCACATCTGTATACTGCTAAACATGTACATATCTCTTGTTAACACTCTGCTTATGTAAGATATTGATTTGTGTATTTATGGATTTATATTTCTGGTATTGCTTTGTTTAATGTTTGGTATTATTATTTATATCTTTACATATTTTTTTCTCATCATTATATTGATTAACTTATATGTTTTTATATAGTTTTGTTTAGTTTTTTTTTTCCTGAAGCAATAGCATGCTAATCCGTACAGAGCACAATAACTTTTGCTGAAAGTGATCCGCAATCATTCAAGTTCCTCATTACAGATCTGATTGTCAAACATAGACAGGTAAAACTAAGTTTCTACAAACCCCAACAACCATACACCCATATTAACAACCCCCCTCCCCCCAACCAAAAAAAAAAAAACACACACACACATTAACCAGTTATGTACATCCACCAAAAGGGTTTGATCCAATTTCAAATATTCTATGCAATAATCCATGTAAAACCATTCCCACCGCGATATCCATCACCGACACAGAATTACAATCGGTTCAAATATGAATAGGGACATGTTTGTATTTACCTTGTATGTATGAAAATATCGAACTACTAGATTCCTTTCATTTTCTTTTTGTGGCATGTTTATGAAAGCCCTCGTCTTCCCTAGTTTTCAGGGAATCTGTTGCCAAAGGGTTAACTGTGTGGACTGTTGGTCTTGGACATCCACCATCTCTGTTGCTTGCAGCATGAATTCTGCTCAGCTCTCTTTGGCTCCTTGTAATGCTGTCATTCGCTCTTCGTGTCTGCAGTTTGATCGGGCGACAAGACGGGGCACACAGCTTATGCACTCGTTATTTCGTCTCCTCCAACTGGAAATGTCATTGTATGTCGCGTTTGGTGGCGAATGTTTTTCGTGTTCCTCACACCGGAATCATGGTGAATTGGTCAATATATAAAGAAGATAAAGATGAGCGCTGCTGACACAAGAACACAATGTTTTCAGTGTTTCAACTTGCTGTAAACGTGATCACTCTACAGTATGTAGCATGAATTCACCTCCATGCCATCTATATGAAAATCAGGGCATGCACGTTGAAAGCACAATCTGTCCATCGTCATTTGAGTTCTGTAGGGCCTCATTGGTTTGAATGTGTCATGAGGTGGTAGATTCGAGGGGAATCTTTTCCTTTTCGATACTGGAATGCTCTTTAGTCAATCACGACTATGACTATCCTGAAGAATATGAAGTCTTTTTCATCACCGATACCATGGAGATATTCAATAACAAGTGCATGAGCCAAAGTTGCCACCACAAAAGCCGGCCACAGTGATAAGATAGAAATACGCAAACACTGACATATCCACACAAACAGGCATGTGCACGCACACACACACACACACACACACACACACACACACACACAAACACACACAGACTAAATGTCGCTGTAAATACTGACTTTGGTTATTTTGTACAGTGTTTAAATATCATGAGTAAAATGATGGCCGTCTTGTGCAACTTCACGCCGGCCTTGCTGCCAACCTTTTGTGCTTTTGTGTATAAAAGAATAATGATGATTATTGTTATTATTATGAGGGAAAAAATATCATAGTATATATGTTGCTGGCTCTCAATGACTGTTGACTACAGTGGAAAAAAAAAAAACGAGAAACGTACAATCTGGTCTGTGTAGGGTTTCTATACATATTGTGTTTGTTAAATCTGAATACAATGGAAATTATGTAAGTGGCTTCCATCATGACCGTGCCAGAAAAAAACAGAAGGTTCAGTGAATAAGCAGATGTGATATGAACTCAGTCAGGAATCGGGGGAAAAAACAAGATGAAACTCCAGGAAAACGCTCTCACGAATGAAGATTCACTCACTGTTGTAAGTGCAATGGGCTAAATGTGAGTCCAGTATTCATTGTGAAATATTGTGTTCTTTTCAATGTATTCCTGTTAAAAGATAAATTTTGGTGCATCATGTCATGTAATGTGATTATGAAAATAATGAACCTGCAAATTGTTTCCAGACTGGAGAAGAATAAAGTCAAAAAATGACAGTTTACTTGGTGTCTTTTATCTGTGTTTTTCATTGTATGATGTCAGGGAGAACATATATGAAACTTTCTTGTCTTAGGAAATAGAAACAGTTTGATTATATTGCATGTGAATCATGTTAAAGTCATAATAATAAGGATATAATATAATAAAGATATAATGTTCAGAATAATGCCAAAAGAGCCATTCTGTACTGTAAAATCAATGTGTCAATAGCAGTTGTGGAAAGAGTACTGAAAAATCAAACTCAAGTAAAAGTACCATAACTTGCCTACAAATGTAGAGCAAGTAGAGTAAAAGTATCTGTTATAAATATTACTCAAAGTATGAGTAAAATAAAGCCCTTATAAAAGTACTCTTGAGTAGTGAGTATTACGCTGTTAAAAGCTGAGGCGTTTACATGTAATTTGTGGATGTGTGTAAACGTAACATTCTGTAGTGCATTTAGTTTTTGCCCAGCAGGCACACAGCGTCATAAGATGTTAATATTAGGTTTGATTTAGGTTGTGATGTCAGGTGACCAAAATTCAATGTTTGGCCAGCGTCTAAGGAATATGTTGTTTTGATGTCTAATAACGACAACAAATGACATTGATGTTTGGTTGATTTTAGGTTGTTAAAAAGTATCCAAAATTTAACGTCGAGCCAACATCTTAAACCAACGTCATATTAACATCAAAAATACTGACATTTATTCATTAGATAAGGCAACCAAAATCCAACATCTGATAGACGTCATAATAGTAACGTCCACACAACATCAAGCTGTAAGATCATCAGACGCTGATATTTGGTTGATTTTAGGTTGGACGTTGAGTTCTGATATCATTCTGATGTTCATTTCTAAAATGCAACATCTATAACGTTAGGGTACAGCATCGATTTGACATCATGTTGTCACACATCTTGTGCCTGTTTAAAGCAATTTCGGTCATCATACAGTAAACATCCATCATCTTCTTATGCATCTAAACAGTCTGTTGGTAATTGCGTGTAAAGATTTTGGACATCTTCTTGGTCACTTTTAATTCTCCCAAACAGTTTGCTGCAAATATTTATAGCCCACGTCTTGTTGTAGTTCATTATGATGCGATTTGCCTTTTATTTGTGATCTGATTGGACAGGAATCACAGGACTGATTTTTCCAATCCCCATAGACAAGAAAAAATAAAGTAGTGACTGCAGGTTGAAGGAAAGTAGTGGGGTAAAAGTACAGATACAGCAGTAAAAATGTACTCAAGAGAAAGTAAAAGTACACATTTTGAAAACTACTTAGTAAATTACAATTCCTGAGAAAAACTACTCAGTTACTGTAATTTGAGTATTTGTAATTAGTTACTTTACACCACTGGCCAATAGTCATGCACTTTTACCTCATCTACATATAGGCCTACCTCATATGTCCACAAGATGCTGTTGGATTGCAGAGCCTGTGCAGACAAATCAGATGATTTCATAGGCTAACTGCTGTTTCCTGTTGGTTTTGTCTCTTCAAACACAAGAGCGTAAAAATAACAAACCCCATTTTGTTTCACTAACTAGCTTAACTTAAAACACAAAGTAGCGTAATTGGAAAACGTAACGCTTGAACATAAATCAATGCGGTAAGAACGACTTAAAGTTGCTGAATGTATATTTGGGAAGTGTAATTTAATCTTTTTAATGCTAAGATATATATACTGCATCCAGTCGCCAGAGGGCGACCGTGCACAGCAAGCCGTTCTGACTTTTATTCATTCTCAGGATATGTATTCTTGATATCAGCAAGTTCAGAAACTGAATTATATTGTTACAAGTGAAAATGTCAATTTCTGATATCAAGAACTTAATTTCACTAGTTTAAATGTAATTCTTGAATTATATTTCAATTGTACATTTATTATGTCTGATTTTTAAAAATGAATTTTTGCTATTAGGGAAGTAATTAATGATGTCTAAAATGACTAATTTCACTAGTAAAAATTACATTTATGATATTAGAAATTAACATTGTCTCTAGCGACAAACCAATTGTTGATATCAATAATGAACATCCTCACTAGTTGAAAAGTATTTCTTGATATCAACAATGTAATTCCTGCCATCAACAATTACATTTTTCATATCCACAAGTTATTGATATAAAAAATTGTATTTCAACAACATCAAAAAAAAAAAAAAAATCAATGATTGATATCAACAATTAAATTTGAATTTCAGTCATAGCCTATGGTGACATTTAACTAGTGAAAATTCAATTCTTGATATCAAAAATATAATTGTTAATGTCAAAAAATAAATTGTTGATATCAAAAATTTATTTTTCTTGATATCAACAGTTCAGTTTTTGATATCAGCAATTACCATTTTGATATCAAGAACTGAATTGTTGATATCAAGAATACATATCCTGAGAATGAATAAAAGTCTAAATGGCTTGCCATATACCATGAAGCTTTGGTTTTACTTGGATAATGGATGTGCACGTGATATACAGGTATGTGCACATTGGCATATAGCATCTGTAAATAATAAGATTTTTCTATTAATCCTTTAACACCATTTGTGTGTAGATTTAATACTTCTTTTTTCTTGTGCAGAAACAGAAGATCACATGCTTATTGTTCTGGTCTAATCATTTTTTTGTGAGACATACAAGCGATTCATAATAGATTTTTTTGTTTGTTTGTTTTTACATTCCGTTTATGGGCCGATATGTGACTGAAAAATGTGGTTTACGTAGCCTACATTGTCCAAGTTCACATAATGAAAATTCAGAGCTGCAATTTCTGCCATGACCTCTAGATGTCCGAAAAGGACCAGCGGTTTTACGGTGAGCTAAACTGATATGAAATTATGAAAGACATGTATTGTGGAATAACTTTACATTTTAAAATGGACTGCGGCTGCCTACAATTTGATTTAAATGCAAATAATTATAATCAGTCTTCCACTAAATCAATATTTTGTGTCCGATAATTAAATTCTTCCCCCAAAGGCCACAAACACTGACAGCAATTGATTTTGTACAGCAATCAGTGTCCCCAGTGAAGGAAATAATGGGGGAAATAATGGTTTTGCATGAAAACACTGGATTCATTGAACAGAAATGGAAAGATGGAGACATTTTCTTTGATTGCAATCTGCTGCACTGAGATTTTAAAACCAATATTTAGCATTTTTCTGTGTAAAACTCTACTTCATCGCAGTGGTATCTTTGCATAAAGATCAATAGAGCATTTGTTCCACACTGAGATGAAGAGATAAACTAAAACAAGTGTGAAGTGTGTCGCCTCGACCCGCCTTCTGTAGGAACTTGAGGCAGCTGATGTGTGTTTGTGTAACTGTGTGTGTGTGTTTACTTGTCCTCCCACTGTCACACCCGCTCATCGTCAGCACCGGCTAAAATCCCTCAGCACCCGGACGGCATGTAGCATATAAAAGCCTTGTGATAAGACATTACTCACTTCAGCATGGGACTAACAGAGCTTGTTGGTAAGATTGAGTCATGCTGGCTAATCAAGGCACTTGCTGTACTGTAAACTGCACGGGTCACATTGAAATGAACATTTTAGAAAAAGATGTAAAAACCAACAGGCTGTAAACACTTTTCATATCTGAATACTTTCCAAAAAAGTAACTATGAATATTAAATTAAAATACTGTAATATACACTACCTGACAAAAGTCTTGTCGTTGATCCCATTTGTAAGAGCAACAAATAATAACTTGACTTCTTGTTGATCATTTGCAAATGTGGCAGAAGGTAGATTTTTCCAATGAATCATCTGTTGAACTGCATCCCAGTCACAAATACAGCAGAAGACCTACTGGAACCTGCATGGACCCAAGATTCTCATAGAAATCAGTCAAGTTTGGTGAAGAAAAGTGATGGTTTGGGGTTACATTCAGTATGGGGGTTGTGTAAGAGACTTGCAGAGTGTATGACAACATCAACAGCCTGTGGTATCAAGACATTTGTGCTGCCCATTACAAACCACAGGAGAGGGCAAATTTTCAGCAGGTGCTCCAGGATTGGCCAGTCCAGTCACCAGACATGAACATTATTGAACATTAAGATGAAGGAGGAGTAATTCAAGATGAATCCAAAGAATCTTGATGAACTCTGGGAGTCCTGCAGGAACGCTTTCTTTGGCATTCCAGATGACTTTATTAATGAGTTATTTGAGTCATTGCAGTGATGTGTGGATGCAGTCCTCCAAGCTCATGGGAGTCAGACACAATATTAACTCTTTTTTTTCCACTGCACCATGACTTTATATTTTATTCTGTACATTATTTCTTTTAAGTGACAAGACTTTAGTCTCAGCAAAGTCAGACCTTACTGTACTAATTAAATAAATAAAAATCAAGGCATGATCATATTTTAATATGGTAAAATAAGTTGCCTTTCATATAAGCCACTTCTAATACCAAATGATCAACTAGAAATCATGTTAATATTTGCTGTTTCCAAATCTTGGATAGGCAACAAGACTTTTATCAGAGAATGTATATTATACCCTGCTATATATATATATATATATATATATATATATATATATATATATATATATATATATATATATATATATATATATATCATGGAATCTGTCATGATTATAATGGATTTATATTGGTTTTAATGGAAGCTATAATGGTCCTTCGGGTCTCTAATGGTAATATTTTGTCAGTTCAATTGGTTGGAATGTTACAACTAATAAATACTAATGAAATACCCTCCAAAACACATTGGAAACCATTAAAATATACTGATTTTAATAAGTAAAATTGTGTGTGTTTTTCAGCATGGATATCTGAACTGATCTTGCACACACACCCAAAAATGAGAATTATGTAATCATTTACTCACCTTTTACTTGTTTCAAACATTTATGAGCTTATTTTTCAGTTAAACACAAAAGAAGATATTCTGAAGATCGATGAAAACCTGTAACCATTGACTTCCGTGGTATTTGGTTTTCCTACAATGCAAGTCAGTGGTTTTGAGCTTTCTTCAAAATATCTTCTTTTGTGTTCAACCGAAGAAAAAAAACTTGGTTTGGAACCACTTGAGCATGAATAAATGGTGAGTACATTTTCATTTCTGGGTTAACTATCCCTTTGATGTTCAGGCAGGAATGCATTTTGGTCATAATCTTATAATAATGTACCCTTGTCTTTTTTTAATGGTGAAAGTGGAGAGCGGTTTAAAGACAGACCTCCATCCGTCTCTGTCCACCCTGAAGCATCATGTCTGGAGAAGGAGCTGGAGGAAAAAGTCTGACAGTCAGCCAATCACAAAGCACCAGAGGCATCAAAGCCAATTACAGCAGGGGTCACATGATCACACTTGGCTGCATATGATTGGCATGGCTGCAGACAGCGAAGAGCTCATCACTCAACTTCATGCAAACTTCTCAGAGATGACCTTCACAGAATATATAATGAGAACAGGAGGTTCTTACCAAATGAGCTTTTCATCATTTAATGGCTAAACAAGTTAATTAATTCAATATAATTCATTAAGCATATGTACTCTAAATCTACAAAAACCTGTTACCATGCCAGTGCTACCACTTGGCATTTGTACAACTACGAATATGGTGTATATTACATGAGTAAATTGATTATGTATTTGTATGTAAAATGAATATTTATGTACTTTTGTACTTATGTATGTATATCTCAACAAAATGGAAGGTATTTTTTATTCATATGCAATGTTATATAATATTTTATCATATTATTTATGATACATATGATGACACATGCACAAACAGGCTATGTAATTATTTATATATATATATATATATATATATATATATATATATATATATATATATATATATATATATATATATATATATATATAACCAGAATACTTTAGATGGGCCTAAGTTATATACAAATACATACATACATACAAACATTGATTAAGTTAAAGTTATAATATAGATTAACCTTGATTAAATATTCTTTTATTGTGTCTTTACAGGCTACATGGACTTTAAATTGAGCTTATCAACTGAGACTACCTAGCCTATACATGACAACGCCTCAGGTGGGAGACGCGGCTAGTATTAGTCATAATATCGATAAACCTTGATTTAACTCTTCTTTTTAACTCTGTCTTACAGGCCACATTGACTTAAAATTGAGCTTATCAACCGACACAACATACATATACATACATGACAACGCCTCATGTGGTCGACGCGGCTAGTTTGTCCCTCTTGTGCGCTGGCCCTTTAAATCTGAAGTGCATTTATGGTGTCGGGGGCGGAGCTAGTGTACGTGTGTCCAATCAGAGCGCGGGATGCTGATACTGGAGTGAATGCAGGACGTGGGACTCTGATGCTGATGCTGGGGGACCCGCACAGTGATGGAGCGGCGACGACGCTGAAAAGGTAACGAAACGTGATTTAACGACACCCATAGGCTTTCATTCACCCCACTAAGACAGGGTTTATAGTGAGGAATCGAAATGAGGCCCGATTCATCGATTTGAGCTAATTATATTATTTCTGAATGACGGAAAATGGGCTTAAATCCACTGTAACGTTAGTATGAACGAGATGAAGCGTCGCTCGATGCTGTTTCAGATGCATTTGCTTTAGGATTAACAGTCAGTTTTGCTTCAATGTTTTTGTTCGTTTTAGTGTTAATGTGTCTTCGTAAACGCTTGATATTGCTTTATGGATATTTATTTGTGCGGTCTAATTGTCTAAACGTGAACAATTCGATGTGAACGTTAGATTGACGTTTATTTCGCTGTATATTTATTTGGATACACCTATAATTTTGTGATGTGGATTTTGGTGCATTTCATTTTGAAATGCACGTAGCATTTGGTGGTTTTCTCAGCGATTTCTTCTCATTTAGGAAAAAACATGGGCATGTATGACCTGTCAGCCTCTAGGAGTGATTTTTTGGGGGATGATTGACAGTGGTAAAAGCCAATCAGAAAACAGCTGTTATGCGCACAGCCAGTGGCTTCTGGATGAGGGAGGGATTTTACATGCGGGTTCTGTCTGGTCTTTAAAATAACAAATAATTTATTGGTTTTTGGACATTGTCTCTGGGAAATAATAAAAAAATAAGGGACATTATTTTTCTCACAGTGTGACCTACAGGCATTTGTTAACAGTGGTTGTGTAGTTTGAACTGTCACTCTTTAAAATCCATTCAACTGATATTATCAGTAGGCCTTTTACTAAGATTAACTGAGATGAGAATTATACTTCAATAGAGATTTACGATGTATTATTTTAGATATTAAAGATATTACCCTAAAGATATTATCTAACCCGAAGTATCAATAATTTGTCTCGTACAATGAACTATGAATTATTATATAATTTCTAATGTACTTTTAAAGTATTACAGTGGTTATCAGTACATTCTGAGAAAAAATCTTGTCAGTTCAGGTAGCTTGGTGAAATAATATAGTTATTTAATATAATATTAGAATATATAACTTTCTGATATATGATTACCAAAAAGCAGTCCCATAATACTGGAACCATAACGAGCTTCTGGTATCCTCAGCTTCCTTTTTACGGTAAATTTAGCAGGATATTTATTCACGTACTTTATGTAATGCCTGGAAATTGTATATGAATTTTGCATATTAATGAATATATATTTTTATGCACTGAAATATGCAGAAATCTTCAGATATTGCTATTAATTTCATAAAAACTTAAAAATAGAAGTCAATATTTGTCAATTTGAAGCCGACTGACAGAATTTTTTAAGCATAGCTACTCATATAATCTGTGCTTGATTTATTTCATTGAATTGATATTATTAGTATTATTAACTGAGAAGAGAAATATACTAAAATAAAGGTTTACAGTGTTTCACTTTTTATTTTACAATAAAAAAGGTATAACCAGAAGTGTCAATAATTTGCCTCATACAATGAACTCTGAATTATCGTATGATTTCTGTTTTACTTTTATAGTATTATGGTGCTTGTCAGCACATTTTGAGGTAAAATTTTGGCAGTTCATGTAGCTTATTTTTTTTATATTAATATATACCTTTCTGTTATATGATTATAAGGTACCAAAAAGCACTTCCCATAATACTGACAATATAGCGAGCTTCTGGTATCCTCAGCTGCCTTTTTATTGTAAATTGAGCAGGATATTTAATCACATATTTTAATGCTTGGAAATTGTATATGAATTTTGCATAGGAATTTGTGAATATGCTTTCTTATGCACTGATATATACAGAAATCATCAGAAATTGCTATTGATTTCACAAAAACGTAAAGATAAAAGCCAATACATTGGATTATTTGTCAAATTGAAGCAGACTGAATGCTTTTTTAAAGCATAGTCATATAATTTGTGCTTGATTTATTTTATTGATTTATTTATTTTAGCACAGCAAATTTACCTAAATAAAACCTTATTGTAAGATAAGGATTTAATTTTATTTGTTTAAAGGGGTGATATTTGGTTATAGTTTTTTATGTAAAATTTGTACATTTATAAAAGAATAGTACAGATTTTTTTTGTTTTATTTAATTTTATTTTTGTTTTATTTTATATTATTTTATTTTTAATATTTTTAATTTAATTTAATTTAATTTTTTACATTTTTATTTAATTTTATTCATTCCAATGAAGTATGCTGAAAAGTGGCATGAATTGATTTTAGATGATGAACTAGTGAGTAAAATATTTCCCCAGGGTAATGATGAGGTCTGTAAAAATGTGAGTACTCATAGAAATGATTGACTTCAATTTTATAAATTTTTTGGATTTAAACTGTCTTGGCTAAACTGCATTTAACGCAACAGATGTATGGCTTGGCCAGATTCTCTCTGAGCGTGTCGTGTTATTGAAGTCTGGGTAATTTGCCCTTTGTGCCTCTGTGAACACACTGTTTTCAGCGTCATAGTGGGTGGCAGCGAGAGTCAGTGGCTCGTGATATTCATCCCGCCACCTTGATTAAGCCATTTATGCTGGAGAGCAGCTGCCTTCTATATATTACTGACCAAAAAAGCGCTTTCTGCCATTTAGTTCTCATTTAACTCTGCTGACATTTCCAGCTCAGTCTCTTTGAGTTACGTCCATGGAGACCTAAAAGCTTCATACGCTTGCTGCTGGCATAGATTAGATTTTATCTAAAGCGACTTACAAGTGTATCTATCATGTGTTCCCTGGACATCAAACCCATGACCTTGGTTTTAGAAATGAAGTTTCAGGAAGCCCAGTTTAATTAGTAGTGTTTCCTGAGGCAAAAATCTCTATCATACAGTAACTCATGCCAAGTTTTAAGCAACTCATGTTCATTGGTGATATGTGCCCAGGGCTACATTGTGGGACCTGTGAAATAGGTGCCTGGGCTACATCTGCTTGCTGTATTTGTTTTTACAAATCCCCTAAAGGCTGCCATGTACATTTCTGACAGTCTCAAAAAAGTTACTAGGCCATGTTTTCTTATGTGTGCCATTTCTCATTAATCCACTAAAGGCTGCTGTGCACATTTCTGCCAGTCTCAAAAACATTACTGGCTAACGTTTGCTCATTGTACAGTATGTGCCATTTACATTTCCTTCTCGTATCCATCCATGTGTCATTTACACATCATTAGATCCATCTGTTATTTACTGACCTTTGTACCCCATTCCCTAAACCCAACCGATAGTGTTTTCAAAAGCAAACTAGAAGAGATTTGAGGGGGTCTGACCCCTCTAATTAATGCTTGATCCCCCTGAAGGACAACAAAACCAGATTTACTAGGTGGTTTTCCCTGATATGCATCTTAAATCATTTTAATAATTAAAAAACTTACTTGCTCCCAAAGCCATTTATCTAAGTTGATATTTAAATTAAATTTTTCAAAATCGATGTTGATGGTAGACTCTTAATCAAAGTATTGTCTTAATTGCAATAAATTATTGTTGTCCATGTAAACGTAGTCATTGTAAGTGTTCGCAAATTTTTTTCCTGTAAAATAGGTGTTTGCATCAACATGTAGCCTAAAAGTAATATAATGTTGCTGCATAGATTGTATTTTTTTGTACACTTGCTTGCACATGGAAGTTAAACAGTTAAATAATAAATTAGTGCAGTCTTTCATGGTCATCCATTTATTGGCGTAGGAATGCAAAGTTGTCACCGCTTGTTTGATATCAAAAAGGTGATTGAGAACCGCAGAAAAAGCCAAAATTGGTTACTGTAGGTCAGAATACACTTAATATTCCTTAAAACCACTGAAAACTTAACCAAGTGTGAGTAATAAATTAGATGTAATTGAATTAGATATATATTTGGTTTACTGTTTACTGGTTAACTATTATGGCAGTCACCATTAAAAAGTAATGTCGGTCTGTGTCATTAAGTCAAGATTCATGCATCAGATTTTTTTTGTAAGCTGGATATTTTCAGCATCGAGCAAGTTTTGTTAAGTTTCACTGACTGAATTCTGCATCAAAACAATAAAGTTAACAATGTAAAACTATTTTACATAACTTGCGTTATTATGAAGCGGCATGTTTTGTCTGTAAAGTCAGAAATTGTTTTAACAAAAAAAATTAATAAATAAATTTGCTTTTCATTAATACATTTTTTTGTAGGTTTTGTAGGATAGGACAATATTTGTCTAAGATACAACTGGAATCTGATGTTTAAACGGCACCTATGGTGAAAATCTTCTTTTGTAAACTGTTTGTGATATAAAAAGTGATATAAAGACAATAAGTCTCTTTATTGAAATTTGCGCGCGTACTTGCATGAACGACATTGTGTGTGACTCCTCTTTGTAACTCCACAAATACATCAAATAATCATTGGTAAAGTTCTTACTGTAGTATTTCTCACAGACGTTACGTGAGATCAGCTTCTCTAATGTCGGTCACTGTGCTGTTTATCGGAAGTAGCTGAGGCAGAGATTGAGGCACACTCTAACAGGCACGTGGGAATGGTGGGAAGGGGGAACTACTGTTAAAAGCACAGACAATAAAAACAGCTACATTGTGTTCATTTACATTTAGTCATTTAGCAGACGTTTTTATCCAAAGCGACTTACAAATGAGGAAAATGCAATTTACACAACTATAAGAGCAACAATGAATAAGTGCCGTAAGGCAAGTTTCAGGTGTGTAAATTGTAAGAAGCAAAGCATTAATAATGTAAGGAATTTTTTTTTTTTTTTTTGAGTATAGTTAGCGGAGGAGCCAGAGCGGCAATTGCAGATTAGGAAGGAAAGTGGAGACTAAATAGTTGAGTTTTTAGTCGTTTCTTGAAGCGAGTGTTCAAAGCAGAAAATTCTAATATTCTGAAAGATATAATAAATAATCTGATGGGTGTTTTGAGGTGAAACTTTACAAACACATTCTAGAGACGAGAAAAATTAACTCTTGAAAAAGGGGTAAAATATGTGCCTT